AGTGATAATGGTGAACCCATTGGTACTCTAAAGGTCTGTTTATAAAATTTATCATTAAAACTAAAAAATGTTGAATTGAGAACTAATTCTAAAGCTTTAAAAAATTCCCTTTTGGGAACGCTCGTGTTTCTTTCAATGAGATGCCATCTCCTCTCCGTATCTTCTATCACCAAGTCAATAAGTAAATGTGAATAACGAAACCACGTCAAGAGATAAAAGAACTTCATTGTTATAAATTGTCAAGTTGGAAATATGTTTAGTCAAATAAAAACTATTTTTTATAAAACTGTTGGCTACTGGTATGCTTTCATGAATTATGTCATGTAAAAAGGAGGCTAAATTGTGGAGAGGACTTCCTACTGAAGAAATTATAATACGAAGTGGATATCCTATTTTGTATATTTTAGGAAGACCATATGCAAAGAGGCGAAACGGTTAGAAAAGTTTGTCATGCTTTACCTTAAATGGATAATTGCACCGACTTTAATTACCTTTTTGAATAGGCTTACTTATGTAATTTAGAATTAGATTTCATATTGATAAGGACTCAAAAGGAAGGGTTGAAACGTTTATGAGTTCGTTATTGTTATTCACACGAGAATAAAGCATTTATGTGCATCCGTTTTGGCTCTGATTGGCTTTTTTTATACAATATATATTTTATTAATTGATTTGTTTGAGCCTCTTTTCATTGGTTTGTTTTCACATTTCCATACATAAAATCTATCTTTGAAAGTTTTTTGCTTATAGCCTACAAATGTAATTGCAAACTCCATACCAAATGCATATTCCATACCAAATACATTAAAAAGCCTTATAATTAGAGGAAAGGATAAACTATTCTTTAACTAATCAGAATGTTGTCTACAAAATTTCCTGTGAAGACTGTGAAGCTACTTATGTAGGATAAATCAAAAGCAAATTAAAAACAAGATTAAATGACACATTTCGGACATTTAAAAAAAACTGGTTCTCCATCGGTGATTACTGATCATCATATCAATTACAATCATAATTTCAATTGGAAAGAAGTAAAGATTTTAGACAAAGAACCGTCTTACAATAAAAGATTAATCTTCGAAATGGTTCATATAAAAAAACAAAAATTAGAATTGAACAAACAAAATGATACTGAATCATTATTTAATTCCTATTTACGGATCTTGCAATCTCCTTTCCCTTCTTAATCTTCTTATTTTCCTTCTTACTTTCATCGTCTCTATCCTTATCTCTATTCCCCTTCCAATCTCATCCCCACTTTCAACAGTCTATTACTGAGCATCAGAATGTCGCTTACACGCTATCACATAACATAAGAAGTTTCTGACTGAACCAATTTCAATTTTTTGACTCTGATCGCAGTTTGTTTCTAAAAATTAATTTGATTCACTGTTTTAATTATTATGGATTAATATTCTTGCTACGCCTTCTTATTTGTACACAATTTTTAATTATTATATATACTTTAAATATTATATATACTTAAATATATTTATTAATACTTAGAGGAAGAGGAATTGAATTTTGGCCAATCAAACGCTATCAGTAGCATTTTACTGTCTATCGACCAATCAAATGTTGTTGACGTCACTGTCTACGGTGCATCTTTTGGAATGCTTCACCTTTCTGACTCCACCATGGGCATCATGATATAAATCATGATTATATATATATATCATGATATGATATGATGATATCATAATGATGATATATAATCATGATATCATGATTATATAATATTGCATATACAATACATATCATGATATATTATACAGGGTGTTTGGAAATTAGTGATAAGTCTTTCGCATAGGGGCAGAATGGATTAAATTGAGAAGAAAAGTCCTCTATCATTTTACAATTGTCGCAATGGTTAATGAGTTATTAACTTATGAAAATAGCCAAATTCGCTCAGCCCACCGCCAAATGCAAGCGCGCTACAGGATAGGACTGCCCAGCGCGTTCGCTGTCACTAGGCACGTAATGTTTAGCGACAGCGAACTATATTATATATATATCACGATTATACAGTATCGCTCAAAAGTGTACAATGGTGGTAAGTGCACTTTATATGATGAAATATTTGATATTCCATCACTACTAAATAACATAATTTACTTTCGTCGCTCCAGAAGACGTCAGATCACTGCTGACGTGTCCAGTTCAGATGTGCTTTGACTCCCTCTACTTGCGCCGGTTTTTGCAGAAATAAACGGCTTTTTCAGGAGTCGTCATCTATACATTTCTGTAGCTTGTAGGCGAAGTTTTATGTTGGGTACGGATGGACAAGGCTACCCAGGAATCAATATTTCCTTCGCAATATCCGTGATACGTGGATACTGAGAACGTGGATGCGAGATAGGCAAAGAATGTTGCGATCGACAACAGAATTAGTGCAATGCAGTCGGCCGCTTGTATTTTTTTTAATATAACCTTATTCTTTTCTTAATATAACTTTTTCTTAATATAACCTCCAACGCTTAATCATGATTGGCATTAAGGATGCTGTACACATCCCATGTACACAGAATCGGAACAACGGAACAGATTTCTTACTAGATCTCATTAGCCATTCCGTTCCGTAAGAAGTTTCTCTACTATATCGGAACCACCGGAATCATAGCTGGTATAAAAACGATATGAAATCAACGGAATGTTATATCGGTTGCAAGTTATGTCGATCCGGCTATTGGTAATGGTTGAGAATTTGACAAATTCGAAGAAGAAAATTAATAATATAATTCTTATTTTTCAGTACGACATCATTCTTGTTTGTTTTGTCACAATACGTGATCCAACTATGTCAGCAGTTTTTCAAATAATTCCGATGTCATTCTGAAGTAATTGAAGCACTCCTCATGATTGTATGCATTTTAACTAAATTGTCACTTGCACCTTGGAAATTAAGCATTCTTTGTGTAAACATTGACCGTATCCAGAATTTTCGTTTTCTTATAAATATATTTCTGCTGTTGTAATAAAACGTTATAAGCGAAACACAATTTTCGTACTTTCTTAAATATTGGAATGGCACATCAACTTGGCATATTTCTTGCATTTCGCAATAATTTTAACATTACTAATTACACTTCTTCATCCATCATTGTAGATTTCAAAAAAAAAAGTTTCTGAATATTAAATTTTTAGATTCAACCAAATTAGCTGAACATTCCGTTTCTTACAAATTTTCTCTACCCGTCCCATGTAACCGAAACGGAATGGAATTTTAGTAACAAAATATATTTCACTTTTATAATTCAATATTTTTGGATATTCAAAGTAATGTTATAGGTAAGATAATTGCATAAATTGCATATTGCTGTTTTAGGATGGAGTCCCATGAAGCGTATTTGTCGCGTATTACGTAATCGCATAACTAATTAATAATTAGTAAAACACAAAACCACAATAATCGATTGCTTCTGATTGGTTACGTCGTTACGCGATACACGCTAAAAATCTCATGGCACTCCAGCTTTAGTCGCATTAAAATTACGAAATATCGATTAAATCAAGTAAATTAACTTGCGATCTGGGCGATATTCCATTCCGGCTACATGGGACGGGTAGAGAAACTTTTTACGGAACGGAATTGTAGTGATCTACCATTTTTTAGTAAGAAATCCGTTCCGTCATTTCGATTCCATGTATGTACACTGAGGAGCAAAAATGAGTTTGTAACTTTGCTTGTAACTTTGATTGAGCGCTTCACCCGTGGGTTATTGTGATAGGTGGGATGATACGTTCGTCTACACCAACTTACACCGAAGTATCGCACGTTCATGTCAATTTCCGTATAACAAATTCGTCGCGATAAAGCGTTTAAGTCTAATTTTAAGAACTCGACGTTATTCATTCACTCTACGTTATTTATCAACTCTAGCAGTAGTAGTCTACAATTTCCGTTTTTTGTACTATCAAAGAGAAACCTGAGAGAGGACATGGCGGCCCAAAACCTGTAACCGCAAAATGCTGCCGTACACTATTGCCCTCTGATAAAGTGGATGTAAATTACATAGCAACTTTTCAAGGCTGGAGATGATAAATCGATATTTGATTCATATAATTGTGTTACATGTAGAGCAGAATTTTTTCCCCTTCTTTTTTCCTTTTTTTGCGATTAACGTTTTAGGTGTATTAAAAGTTATTCATTAATTTCAACATAATTGACACTGATTCTCTGAATGGTCAAAGACTGGTTTTTTACTAAACCGATAAAATTTAAGTGTTTGCGATATGGTGAATTTTTGTTTTAATGAATTACCTTCTATATTATTTTACAATAAATCGTTTTTGCTTTCAAATTTACCTTTTAATAATTTAAATACATTTTAGAGTTCATTTTATATTATAATTTTCGTTAATAAGTGGAGGTGGCTCACTGAAATAAATTAATTTGTAAAAAAAAAATTTTTTTCGTAATTACAATATCATATTGTCTCTGAGGATGGCTCAAAAGTGAAACATGTAAGCGGATTAATTATTAATAAAGTTGTTTTGTTAACCGTATTGGTTTGCACAAGAATTGTCGTACTCGTATTACCCTGTTATATTCAACCATTTTGTATCATTAAGGAGCCTTTAAGAATTAATTTATATTTAATATTAGAAGATAAAGACAGGCGAAACAGAACGCGCGAACAGGTGGGAAATTTAATAATGTTTAGTGAATTTTGCCTTCTGTGTGTGTGTGTGTGTGTGTGTGCGTTTCCGCATTTCCGCGCTCTATGTAATCGCATTCTTAACATGCTTAGCGATGGCAAACGCACGCCTCATTAGACAGTCTTATCTCGCTGCCCGCTTGCATTTCGCGATAGGCGAATTTGACTATTTTCATAAATTAATATCTTGTTAATTATTTCGAAAATTGTAAAATGATATAAGATTTTTCGATTCAGTTTAGTCTACTCTATTTACACAAAACCGTTTTGCCAAAATTGCTCTGCATGCGAGCGTGCGTGCGTGTGTATTATAATGTTAATATTTGTTTAATGCATTTACAGTGACCGAGTTTTCAAAGAAGAGTGGCGATTATACTAGCCTATCTGCTACTGATCTTAAGGTAATTGCGCTGACATATCAGTTGGAAAAAGAAAAAGTTGGATCGGCCCATCTGAAAGAGATTCCAACAATAAGAATTATTAAATCTACAACTGATAAAGAAATCAGAGATGATTTTAAACTGCCAATTGGATTCTACATGCCGAAGAAAAAAGTGAGATATTTTAGAGATTGCTTTTGTTGTATGTATAATTTTTATTAATCTAAATTTATATTCTTTATCTAGGAGAAAAATGAAGTGATTACAGATAATGTAAAGGCTTCTTTGAATAATACGGAAAAAACAGATGTTATTGAAGAAAATATCACACACGTACAGGTTATACGTGATTCGGCAATAGATGATACAATAAATGGCACAGAAATAAATAATGTGGAAAAACAATTTACTTCTTACACATCTGCATCTTCGGACGAATCACAGTCAGATTACGAAACAGCATCGGATAAAGAAGATGATAAAACAAATGATTTAGCTGATAAATTTTTCAAACTAAGGTGCGATCCAACTGATTTGGAAGTAGAGGGTATGGGCATGTATGCCATGGATGACATTCTTGCTTCTATTGATACATCCAAAAGTGACGAATCATTTGAGGATAAAGATAAAGATGACGATGACAGTGGTTGGATCACACCAGGTAAATTTCATTGGTTATATTTTATCAAAATTAACGCATAAGTATACATTATTGAAGTATGGATGTATAATACATATATATATATTATATAATACATATATATGTATAATAACATATTTTTAAGAGTATTAATTTTAATCACTTACCTTTTCGAAAGCAAATGTTTCCAGCATAAAAAAGCAAATGGATTCGGAAATTCTTGAAGAAAAGGCTGCGACTGTCGCGTGCTTAACCATGGATTTTGCAATGCAAAATGTACTCATGCAAATGGGATTAAATGTGGTTGCATTAGATGGCAGAGTAATTAAACAGATGCGAACATTCATATTCAGATGTTACGCCTGTTTCAAGACCACTAGTATCATGACAAAGATCTTCTGTCCACATTGTGGTAATAGGACGCTGAAGAAAGTAGAAGTCACATTAGACGAGAATGGAAAGCAACAAATTCATATCAATTTTCGACGATCTCTTTCGGCCAAAGGAAAGAGGGTAAATTATATTATTTCTGATACAATCTATGAGTTATATGAATGCAAAGATGGTAAAAATAAAATTAATGAAATATTTCAGTTCTCATTACCAACGCCGAAAGGTGGGAAACATGCTAATAATCCCATTTTATGTGCGGATCAACCAATGCCGAAACAACGCCCATCACGTTTGGCACACATAAAGAACGATCCGCTCGACGATGATTATATAGCTGGGTATTCTCCATTTGTTATGCGTGATATAAATTCGAAGTCAGCTATGCTGGGCATAAGGCCGGATGGTATTATCAAGTACTGGATGAAAAGAAATCCTAATGAATCCAAAAAGAGACGAAAATAAAAACTGTTTATTATTAAATCAACATTGTTATTTTGGGGTTTTATGAATTCTTCATCATTACGTATAATGATTCTGTAAATGGCTACATTTAATCGTTCTTTAGTAAATTAAGGAGTATTCATAGAAATGTCTAATTTTTTTTATATAATGAAGTTGAAGTACCGAAATTGACGTATGCAAAATTCTACGGTAGATTAACGATGAAATAAGAAAAAAAATGTTGGAAATGTAACCTTTCACGTAAAACATAGTGACAGACATAAGATTCGCAGACGCTTCTTTGATTGACTGTACTTTGGAACATATACTACTGAAGAGGAATTGCCTATGCTGGTCTGTATATCAAAGTGAAGCCAACATCTGTGCGAAAGAGAAAGGTAGAGAAGTCCAATGTTTGCAATGCGCATGCGTTAGTACTGTCATATGCTGTCATCTGTGTGAATTGTATGTATGTTGCATTAGTGTTTCTTACACACTGATGTTGTAAGTTACGATTGTACAAACGTAGAATGAAAGTGGAACGTGAACTGCGCGGGAAAGCACAAAAAAATGAATAGTTTTTGTGTACGATTCATCTATAGTCGCTGAAATCTGACTATAAAATACTCAATAACTTCTAAATGGCTGATCTAAAATGGATAAAATTATAGTATTTTGAAAAGGTCTCAACAAGAACTATGAGTTCTTGTTCCATATCTTGAACATTATATATATGATAATATATAATTACATGTAAAATATAATTATATGTGGCACTATATATAATTATATAAGGAACATAAAATATTCCGAGACGGCAAAATATTAGCGACTATAGGTGAATCGTACACAAAAACTGTTCATTTTTTTGCGCTGAGACTTTTACGTTTTCTTTAGCAGGTCATAAGCTATAACATATGTGAAAACCATTTGATTTCACCGGGACTCAATTTCATATAAGATTAGTGTGGGGTTCTTTTCAGCACTTTACTAAAAAACCACCTTAAACTACAAATTACATTATAGTCCATATGAATGTAACGGTGATGGTGGTGGTTAGCGAAACGAATGTGTATATGTCTCCACTGCATACATTCTGAAAAGAGATTTTTATATAAATAATGATTTAAAAAATGTAAATGATATATATAAGAATAAAACATAAATGATATATAATGAGTAAACCAGAAGAATTACTTAAACACCGAGTTCATTTTTTAACGATAACCGTCTGATTCGCTCATTGTCGACCATTAAGTATTGTAAAATAGAAAAAAGGAATTAAAATACGTAGGCTACTGGAAAAGTTTCTGCAATCTATTACTTCCAGTGACGCCAACGTTCTGCTACTATCATATCCGTAAAATTAGACGTTTTTAACCTATAATTCAATTGACAGTTTGTACCCAAGCCAACTACTTTTGTTTGCATAGTATTTTAAAAAAAGTTTAATATTTTGTAAGAAAATGGAAATTTCGCGTGAAAATTTTCGGGCAATGATTTTTTACGATTACAAATGTAATCTAACTCTGAAACAATGCATCGATCGACTTCATTTGGCTTTTGGGGATGAAGCACCATCCAATAGGACTGTTTATAATTGGTTTGCCGAATTGCAGCGTGGACGTACCTTTCTTAGTGATGAATTCCGTGAAGGTCGTCCATCCACGTTGTTGCTACTAATGTTGATGCTGTGCGTGAAATGATTGAGCGAGACCGGCATATGACATACCGCGAGATTCAGGCACCTTAGGCATTGACATGAAAGCAATACATACGATTTTGTATGATCACTTGAGCGTACGGAAACTTTGCAGCGTTGGATCTCACACAATTTGACCGAAGCTCAAAAACAGGCTCGTATTAAATGGAGTAAAGAAATGCTCAAGAAATTCAACCGAGGTCGGTTAAATTTGGTCTACAACATCGTTACTGGGTGATTTATCACCTAATGACTTCTTTTTGTTCCCAAACATTAAAAATAAGATGCGTGGTGAGCGATTTGAGTCGCCTGAAGCAGCTGTTGAAATATTTCGTACACTGATTTCTGAGGTTATAGCCTTAGAGTGGAAAAAATGCTTCGAAAATTGGTTCGAGCATATGCAAAAATATATCGATCTTAAAGGCGAATACTTTGAAAAACAATAAAGCCATTTACCGAATTTTACATGTTTTTTTCATATTGTTTGCAGAAACTTTTCCAGCAGCCTACGTATCAATGTGAAAAATTAGATGCCGAAAAATTCGGATAAGAACTTGAATGTGTAGATACATTACGACGTAATTTTAATTATGTTTTATTATTAAACATTACAATTTTCTATTTAATTTATATAACTAAAACATCATTATTATGAAATTTTATGTATGAGTTGAGGATATTATTTTAGCTAGCTACTTACATTCATTTTTATCTCAAGACTTTTGTCATATATATAAATTTTAGTTTTATTTATGTAACCGTGTTATCATTAGACATACAATTTTATATTTTATTTATATAATCAAAACACTTTTTTGTGAAATTTTGTTTGTTAGTTTAGGAAATTATTTTATCTAGCGATTTACATTCAATTTAGCATACTATTTTATATAATCTTTTCTAAATTATGTTTTTTAGACAATATTCATAATTGGGTCATTGATCAGTTTGAGAGTGCAATTCCGAACTTTTGCGATTGCGTCTTTAAGGTCATTTTATAAGATAGCGATTGATGATCACATACGAGGTCTGGCTATTAAATAACGAGACTGCTTATGAAAAAGTTTTATTTTAAAAATTATTCTACAATTGAATGCTCCCCTTCAATGTACTCCCCTCCCCTCGCCACACACCGTTCCATTCGTTTTTTTCATTGGTCAAAGCAATGTTGGAAGTCTTCTTTTATAAGAGCATTTAGGAGCTCCGCCGATTTTCGCTTCACCTTTTCCATCGACTCGAACCGGGTTCCTTTTAAGGCAGACTTGATCTTCGGAAACAGGAAAAAGTCACAGGGTGCTAAATCAGGCGAGTACGGCGCGTGTTCGAGCACTGGAGTGCCTCTAGCAGCTAAATAACGCTTCACAGACAGCGCGTTATGGGCAGGTGCGTTGTCCTGGTGTAAGATCCACGACTTGTTTTTCCACAACTCCGGCCGTTTCTTACGAACTCGCTCTCGCAGTGTTGCCAAAACTGTCAAATAGTAAGTTTGGTTTACAGTTTGACCCTCTGGAACCCATTCAGTCAT